ACAGATAGAGAGGTGCATATAAACAAGTACAGAGAGACAGAATGAGACAAACATAGAAACAAAAAAAAAGAGAACTTCTGCACAGTAGGCAGATGGATTAGAAGATGAATCGTCACGCATATTACTACAAGCAGGCTGAAACAGGCAAAGAGACAAACGGTTGAGCTGATGGCAGAGAGAGAGGCCAATCAGCTGCTTAGAAGCTCCGCAGGCAGCGGCACCAAAGGGGAGCAGCAGCTGCAGCAAGTGCAGATGCAGATACAGATGGCGAAGCAGAACGAGGAAAGAAATTGCATGCATGATGCGGCTGGTGGGTGTTTTAGGTTTGACTTGATCTTCATGCTGCGAGACAAAGATGATTACGAAAAGGATACTCGCCTATGTGAACATATTCTGTCTCTCCATGCGGTGAGCCCCCTCCCCCGCTCCCTCGTCCCTCTCTTCCTTTTTTTCTTCTTTCTTCTCCCCTTCCCCTTTGTATTTACTGAGCAGACAGGCTCCCTGATGGCCCATGCGATGAAATTTCATATTCTGCTGAGGCTGCAGCCTTTGCTTTCCATCTGCTGTTGCCGCGAAGCTGCAAATGCGGCGAAGTCTGATGGCATGCGCCATGAAGGCTGTCTCGTGATTCATGTTGTTGAAACCGTCGTGAGGGTATTTTCTGTTTGTTTTTGTTGAATTTCGTCAGAGAAGAGCCGCGCCGCCGCCACAAGAAGAGGGAGAAACGATACCGTTTGAGGTGCTGCGGAGGTATATACAATATGCAAGGCAGCAGCAACAACCTCTCCTCTCTCTTGATGCGAGAGACGCCTTAAAGAATTTCTATGTACAAACCAGGTGCGCTGCAGCCATCATTTCTCTGTTTGTTTACTTTGGGAATTCGTCCTTCATGTACATTCTCAACGCCTTCTTCTCTCGCTTGCAGTCAATGTGAAATTTCCGTTGCTGTAGGGATTGCAATCCTCATTGTGTTAAATATGTTCCAGCAAATATATATATATATATATATATATATATATATATATATATATATATATATATATATATATATAT